TTAAAGACAACCATTATAACGTGGAGACAATCACGATTCCTACCCGAAGCCTGTCAACTTAACCCCCCACCCCCCTCCCCACCCCCACACAGACACCCTCCTCCCCCCCTTTCTTCCTTTCCCTATCATACTCCCTCTCCCTTTTCCTCTCCTTTTTCTTCTCTCTACCCCTCTTCCTCCACTCTCTCTCCTTTCTACTTTTTCCTCTCCCTCCCCATCAACCTCCCTCCTCCCCTCTCTCTCTTTCCCCCTCCCCAGCTCTCTCTCTCTCTCTCTCTCTCTCTCTCTCTCTCTCTCTTTTTTTCTCTCTCTCTCTACCTCTATCTCTATCTCTATCTTTTTTGCTTTCTTTTTTAAAAGGGGTTAAAACAAATACCAACTGAAAAATACTGAGGCAACAGGGTAATTTTTAGGGGTAGTGGTGTTATTTATCGGTAACAGAAACCACACCCTGACAAGAAAAGGAATACTTTTCTTTGGTATTTTCGCTTGTTTCTGGAAGGAATTGTATCAAAACAACAAACAAAAATATATTTTCATTCAATTTGGAATGCAGGTCCGTTTTGAGACCTATTTGAACATTTGTCTGTTCAATGGTTATACAACTTTTCTGTGAAGTAGTTTCCCCATAAGACGTCCTTTCCCACATAAGCTCACTGTTGTTTATGGTGGCTTAGATAGGCACTTCATTGTCGTAAGCAGAATGCCATAGCTCCATTCCAGTGAGGGGAGCATTGATATCGAGTATTTCGGTTGAGGGGAGGCTCTGACAGGCAGGTTCCAGACTCACTCTCGCTCTATATTTTGTACTATTATTGTGTCCGTGGGGACTTTAGACACTTTCATAGGTTTTTAAAATTTTTTAAAAATTGAATTAATTTTTTAAAAAAGTTTTAACTTTATCATTATAATTTTAAAAAACTATATTTCTTTCTTTTATGTTCAGTTAGCACTACAAATTATGTGACCAACAAATCAGACCAGATGATATCGTAAATAGATGAGGGACGGTTTGTTTTTGTTTTAGTGAGAGTTTTATAGCACAATTAGGTCTTATCAGTCTCCAAGGTGAGAATTGTTACAAGAGGGTAAGAAACCCCCAAAAAGGAGGAAAATTAAGGACGACAAATAGATATATTTGATAGAAAAACAGGAGCAAACCACGCAAGAGAACTCACTAACCACCCACGTATGTTGGAAATTACTGGAGGTGGATCTGACTTTTCTTTTTACAGGGTTATTCTTGTTGCTGTTGTTGTTTCTGTTGTTGTCGTTCACTTGTTATTGTTTTTGTAAAGTTTGTTTCTTGGGATGTTTTTGCTTTGCTTTGTTTATGAGCTGGGAGGGGGAGAGGGTGTGGTTTTTTAAGGGGGGGGGGGTTGGGGTGAAAAGAAGATTCGGTGTTGTTCTCCATTTAATAGGGGGGGGGGGGGATATCAATTTGAGATTTTCAATATCTTGAATGTGTCGAAAAAAAATTAACATCTCGCAGAACGACTTTCAACGTTGGTGCAACATATATAATTCTATCGTTTGAAAAAGGCTGCTTAACAATATTAGCGTGTCCTTTAAAGATAGATCACATCCCGCCTTTACGAGTGACAACCGGAATGAACATTCTTCCTTAAACTCTCAGTCTACAGCGTTGTTGTTGAGCTGATGCACAATATAGCTCTGTTATTTACTGCCATAACAAATATCTGCGAAATCACAACAGTGCATCTATATACGATCAAACTAAAATGTTAGTGCATTGGGCAGTTATTCCTTCACAGCTTTGTGTGTGTTTTATGCAAATTAGTCAAATAGATGTGGAATTATAAGAAGGTTTACTGTGCTGAAAAAATGGACGACAAAAAAGGTTATTTTTAGACGAAGGGCCTCTTATTGTTTAAGGCTAAGGTGTTCGCCTCTCCTTTGAGAGGTCCTGGGATTGACTCTGGCAGAGACGGCAATAGATTCTTCTCTAATACGGTCTCCTTTCCCGTTCGCTAGTCATGTTATGTGTTATGCTTTCATTTCCACTTCCTCCTCCCTCTCCCCAACCCCTGCCTCCCCAGGCTCTTTAAACTGCTACTTCTGGCTCCTTCTTCCAGCTATTTTTAAGCCACACTCCTAATATCATGGAAGGTAAGATAAAACATCTAGCCTTAAAGAATATGGGCAAAAAATCTCGGAGGTCTTATGCACAACTTGCGCACGTTAAAGACATCTTGGTGGTGTAAAATCGATACAAGTTGGCTTCTGTGCCATCCGGTCAAAATTCAAAAGTTATCCATACTAAACTTAAGATTTTAAGACTTTAGCCAATATAACAATTTATATTACTTAGCAATCGGAATGTGGCTCGGTGACGTAGGAAACATGGTCACATACGTAAATATCAGCTGCACTGCAGGTTGACGAAACAGTAGTCAATTACAATTGAGCAGGGAACTCAAAGAAGAAAAAGAAGAAAACATGGAATAGGCTTTCAGTAAGCTAGAATTAACATTTTTGATGTCCACGTCAGGAATGACTGGCACTATCTGATTAGAGAGTGGCCGCGCCCCGATCTATGGTGTTGAATGACACATTCTTAATTAAATAGGTCTAGTGAGAGTATTACAGCTCTCGAAACTACAAAATTGTCATATTAGCAAGTTGTTTCCACGTCAGTTCACAGCGCGGCCTGCTTTTTAGAATAATTTTTAAAGGTTACACATTTTATAGTAAAATAGTATTAAAAGATGGCCACCAGTTGTGGAGTTTTATTTAGAAGATATCTAGTTTCGTAAAAATGTACAGGAGAACTCACCCCCCCAAAAAAAAAAAAATTTAAAAAAATAAAAAAATTATATATATAAACCCAACCCCCCAAAAAACCAAAAGGCATTTATGCCTCTCAAAAGCCAGTTGCGTTGACTTTCTTCAAAACGCCTTTCTTGCTGTATTTATTAAAACATCAATTACAGACTAATTTAAAAGGAAGACGTGTAAACTATCAGGTGCAATCGATATCTCAATTTCGTCCAAAACTGGACACATATTCTTTTAAGATAAAACCCCAGATTTTACAATTTTAGAATAACAAACATCTGCATTTTAGAGAAAAGGCCAGTAGCCTTTTTGAAATGGAGAATTGTGTTGGGGTCAACGACGGAAAACATATTTTTAATACGTGCATTCGAACTAATTCATTAGGGTCTCTCCAAAGTTTGTGTATTTTATCAGTATATGTCTGATGGTAAAATCCATGTTGCATCTGAGACAGCAGGGCTCCTCGTCTCCCTGTTAGAGGTATCTATGTGTTGAGGAAGTGTGTCCACTACGTTATCTTATAAATCCATCTCATCTGGAGAGCTGAAGGTTTTCATGGTCACGGCTTGGGCATAATAATTATTGTGGAGTTTGTTGCTCAGTTGCCCCCTGTTTCTCCCACAGACTGGAGGTGTAGCTGCTTTTAACGGTATTTTTAAATGTGTCTGTGGAAGGGTGTTCTCCGTTGATCCCAACAGAAAGGCCAAGGAATCCTTGGAAAATGATACGCACTTTCATTCAGCACAAACCACTGAAAACCTCGGACCAGCTCAGGGGGTGCAGAAAATGGATAATGTGTTAAAAGTGGATCTGTTTCGGTTTGAGAGAGATTTATCTTTTTAAAGACGGATGACAGTTGGTTCATCTCCCCAAAGGGGACTGTGAGCATTGAAATCTCCAACAAAATAAAGGGTTTTGGGAGATGGTCATTCAAGTCATTTAGATCGGTAATGTGGCTAAACAGAAATGGAGCAGTTTTTGATTGGTGTGTGCAGTGTGACCCGTACAACAATAGCCTTGAGGGTCATACTAAGGTATATTTGTCTATGGAGTGTCTTGTTGTGGATGTAGAGGGTGATTCCACAGGAAGCAATCTGGTTGTCATTGTGAATTGGATGATGCTCAGCAAAACCTATTAAGTCTATGGCTGAAGCCATGGTGAACTTTGTCTCCTGGATACAGGCCACAACAGGGCACAGTGTGGCCTTTGAGTATTGCAAATCTACAATGGAAGGTCGGAATCATCGGACAAGACCACTATTACACTTTCTAGGTTTCGAGCACAAAGGTCCGCTGCTTCGTTGAACTGTGACTCCTCCAAATAGACTGCTGTTTGCCGGGTGGTTTTTGGGAGGAGAAACGGTGTGGTTTGAGAGTAGTACCTGGAAAGTAGGCACTGTACGGATCTAAAGGACCGTTTCCTTTTTCTGCGCGACTTTTTGTCGTTAACCTTGGGTCGTGCTAGGTCGGCAGAAGAAGAAATGGCCAACCTCTTGACTGGCTGTACTGACTTCACATATGATCAGCCAGAGACCAAAGTCACAACTTGCGGGGAGACTGTCTTATAAATCTCCTGAAATGAGCAGCCATATCGCGTCCTGTTTTCTTAAATAGCGCATTATTGAAGCCAACTTGGTACTACGAGATGAAGATTGTTTGCTGGCTATGGCAATTGGGGCAGAAAGGACTAGTATTGCATTTCTTTTCAGGATGTGTGGTCTTGTCAAAGCGAGGACACACGGCGGAATGCCAGCATTGCGACTGGATATGGCCAAGCTTTTTTTATTAAGTTATCATCGTCGTCTGTAGAGTAAGTGTATCGGAACTAACTTGCTCGAAGAAAGCAATACCTTTATATTTACGTCTCTTGGTTTACCAAGACCATCAAGGTCTACTAAGTTGTTTCATCTGGTTTTGTTTAGACGTTGAGTGAGAAAAACAGCATCGGTCATCAGTTCTGTCGTCTAGTCGTGTAATATCAACACAAAGCAGGCTACTCGTGACTGAAAATACTATCGTTCTATGTGTTTGTCTGCAAATACTGGTGTAATATTTAATGCGTTTCTTTTTTCAAAGAACCCAGCACTCAGTGAAAACCCCCCCAGCAAAATAACAAAAGCTTGGGTTTTAACTGTTTTAAGGACAACAGCAAGATACGACAGGGTTGTGAACGAAATGTAGTTCTTATGTTAATCAAATTTTATTAAATCAGTATTAGGAAACATAGCTGATAATAACATTTTTATCGGTCGAGATTCCGCAATAGAAAGTTTTCAAATGTTTACAGGTAAAATACGTAAAACAACAAAGCAATGATAATATATGGTTGGTTCCAGTTTGTTAAATGAAAACAGTAAGCTACGAAATAGTTGTAAGGAGTTGAATACAGTTGAATACTCATTAAAAAGAGAGTCCATAAATTATTTGAAAATACAAAAGTTTGTCGTTGGAGATTTCACAATAATATTAATAATTATAATAATAACAATAATAACAATTATAATAATTATAATAGTAGTAGTAATAATAACAATAAAAAAATAGTAATCGTAATAGTAATGATAATCATCATCAGTAATAATAATATTAATATTAATAATCATCAGTAATAATAATATTAATAATAATAATGATAATAATAATAATAATAATAATATTAATAATAATAATAATAATAATAATAATAATAATAATAATAATAATAATAATAATAATAACAATAATAATGATAATAATTAAAAAATAAAATAAAATAATAATAATAATACAACTAGGTAAAATAACATTTATTTTGTAAAGCGCAAATTTCTGCGAAACAGCAAGCTGTATGCACTTCTCAATCTATATTATTTCCCTAGCACACCTGATAGTATTCAGAAACAATCTCAACTTCCCGCGAAGCGTACAGAGCATCTGCCATTTAAAGGCGCTTAAACACATTCTGACCAAAAATCTCTCGTTCACTGTTTCTCGTAAGAGTCAAACGTAGAAAATTTGTGTAAAGAGCATTTCTCAACCATACAACGTCGTGCCTGCGGCTCGAACCACCGGACCCACAACCTGACGATAACGAGTTCTGTAGTCTAACCACTAGACTGTCGACGTCTTTGTTTGTTCCGATTGGATTAAATGCGAATAGTTTAACAGTGGAGTCTATTATAACTTTATTTCAAATAGCTAACGGTATGTAAATATTATGACTCTAATCTACTTTTCTACTCCTCTTTCTACACCATCACAATAGAAACTTTGATAAATTTTGGTATCACTTGCTATGGTAGCAATCTGGGAAGGCAGCACATTATAAAACTAAACAAGTTGATAAGAAAGGCATCATGAACAATTGGTAGAGACCTAAGTAACACTGAATATCTGCACAAGACAAACGTTCTAAAAAAGGAGGAAACAATGCTTAGCGACCATAGCCACCAACTGACATCGGAATTTCAACTATTGACCCGCAGTAAACGATACATTTCCAAAAAAGCAAGAACAGACAGATATAGAATTTCATTCGTACCAACTGCAGTGAGGTTACTGAACACACAGTGCTACAAATGAAACACAGGGAGAGAGAGAGAGAGAGAGAGAGAGAAAGAGAGAGAGAGAGAGAGAGAGAGAGAGAGAGAGAGAGAGAGAGAGAGAGAATGAATGCTTTACGTAGCGGGTTGTCCCAGCCCGTGAGACATGTATTTACTTGGCCTAATGTCCTGTCTTGTTGTGCGTTTGCGAGAGTGCACCTTTAAGTCTAACTTTTGTAACGTCTATTGCCATTGTTAACGACCAAGACAAACTTTTCCCTGCGAGATCAATAAAGATTGTCAATGTCATTGTCATTGTCTTGTCCGAAATATATTTGTATAATAACGGTCACAATGTTTACGTGGTTCTGATACGGATATACGGAACAGGGTGTACAATACTTATTTGAGAATGTGAGCCCTTCATAAAGACACCACCAAGGTCAAGGCCAAAGACATTTGATTAGTTGACATTTAACCCCACGTGCTCATGGCACGGAGTTTGGTCGCA